TAGGTTTTTTCAACAAGTTATAACAAAAATTTGCTCCAGCTCTTGCTGAAAGGTAAATAACTGCTCTGTGTACATTTTTAGTGAATAATTTCAAAAAAGCCAAACTTTGAGTTGTGTCACTTTTGAAGATCGTGTGCGATATCTAAAATAGAATATACCAACTATCGCCAGTGTAGCGCAGCAAAATTTCGGGCTAGCGGCTATAGTTTTGAAAACATACAGAAATTAACATAAAAGAAGTTTTTGTGACGCGTTATTAATTCTTTTTTGTGTTTCTTGTGTTCTATCTGGCATCTGACAAGTTCTCAATTAGTGTTTGCTTATTCTGTTTTTTTTTTGTTTTGCTTCTTATGATACTAATGTTCGCAGTGCTTCATTGTTTCTTTTTCTTTAATTCGTAATCTTTTATTATTGCGAACTTTGTTGTTAAACCACTGATCACAATGTATGAAAGAACTGTTTAAAAAATATTCGTCTCTTTATTTTTCCAACAAAAATTTGTGATTGCCCATATACAAAGCATTTATAGGCATTCACGTACATACTATAAAAGTTTTTTTCTCCGAAAATATATTTTTGTTGCTTTTATTGCTTATTCTGTCCATTGTTTATTTATGTACTTATTAATTTTGTAGGAATTTAAAAATATATATATGTATATATTTGCACATGCGATTTCATTAATTTATTATATATCGCACGCCGTCTTCAAAAAAGGCACAACTCATACTTTGGCATTTTTGAAATTATGCGCTAAAAATGTACACAGAACGTTTATTTATTTACCTTTCAGCAATACCTGGGGCAAATTTTTGTTATAATTTATTAAAAAAAAAACCTAAGATAAAGTCTCCCTTGCCCACATGATTATCACGTACTAAGAAATAGTTTTTTCCCATTTTCTGACAAACGTGTAATTTTGAGTTGTGCCCCTTTTGAAGACGTTGTGCAACATGTATATCATCATGCATCATTGTCAATATCAAGCTTGGCGTGGGCGGCATTTATATACGTGAGCACTCCCTTACAGGCTATCTTGAATTCCCAATTGGGCAATTGTTGGGCTGTTACATCAACAGCACACATAGCTTCATATCTTCATGTCCCATTTCAGAAGTCGTAAAATCCCATTTTCATATGCGCTCAGCACAAATTCTACCATTTATATAGGGAAAGGTGCCATAAGTAAGCCTTAGAATTCATCGATCAAATTATTCATGTTGCAGCAGCACAAGTTATCGAAATTATCCGGGCTTCGAACGTCTGTCTACTTCAATTCGTGGGTGTTACTTGATTTTCAATTTCCTCAATTCCTTATCGATTTCCTTTTTGTCATGAAAATGTTGCCACGTCAGCAGGACTTTTTTGCCGAAGTGTGTTTTATAATAAAAATGTCTTTCATTTGATTTTTCGTAACTTTACTTTTAGCACCTTTTACTTTATTTTGATTAGTTAATTTCCTGCTCTGTCTTTATCCATCTTAACCACAGAATTGTTGAATTGTGTCTCCAAAAGCCAACGTCATCCCATCTGGAAAACTAAAATATGTACATTTTGCGCGCCAGTTATTTACACAAATATCACTTGCTTGTAATCAAACTTCCGGCACTCTGCACCACCCACCTGGCCACTCTGAGCAAATCGGCGAAGTCTTAAGTACTCAGTGACGGTCTCACGAAATTGGCGCGCACTTATCCTCTTTATATCTTTACAAAAGCTCAGAAATTTTCCTTCCAGGCGGCGAGCTGTGACATGAAAGTGAACATGTGTAAATGTGAAAAAATGTATGCACACGTACATACATACATAGATATCTATATTTCATGCCTACGAGTAGCGAGTACGTAAGCTACGCCTGAAATATGCATGAAATATTTATGCACACATTTTGACGTTTTGCCGATAGTGTGGTGGTGTGGTTGCTGTTGTTGTCGACATGTGTTGAACGTGATGAATTGTAGAGTTTTAGTTTATTTATTTCATGCAATTTAGTTTATTTTACATGCATGAGTGTACAAAATGTGTTTGGTAGTGTGTGCGTTTGCGAGTAATGATTCACTTTCATTTTATTGCCCTTTGGCTGGCATGATGCATTAATTTACTCGTCGTTTGAGGGCTTTTAATGTTGTTTTTCTGTTGAATTGCTGTAAATATGTATTTGATAAAATACTTGGGACGAAGACGATAAGGAAAATGTGCTTAAAAACTCTAAACTAACGGTGCAGTCGGACGTGGCAACACAAGTACTTTTTGAACGCGCTTTTCTATCAAATTGAGAAAGTGAAAGTCCACTTTCCCGTGTGACTAACCAAAGAGTACTTTTCGTCGTTATTTGGAAATGAAAATACAAGGCGTGAATAGAGGTCCATTCAATATGAAATCCATACTTGCAAGTTTTTTTGTTTTAATGCATTAAATAGCCCATCAAATGTTTAAGAGAGTGATTTCGAGGGCGTAACAACCCGAAAGAGCTGCAAATTCTTGTTAGTAAAAATTTTAGCAAGCTAGTGAAATGAAAATATGGATGAACAATTTAAAACTATGTACTTAATATATATTTTTTGATATTTATGACCAGGGAACGGATTTTTAGGGCCGAAAAACCTATAAAAAGGACAAAATAAAACAACGAAATAGGCTGGATAAGGCAAAATAAAATAGCGAAATAGGCAGGAAAAGGCACTAGAAATAGCAAAAAAGGCAAACGAAGGCACTAAAAAAAGACAAATCTGAAAAATAACACTCGGTTTCAGGAAAATTGTTCAACGGACGCCACTACATATCCAATTCCTATATGGAGTTGCTCGCTGATTCTAAAAATCGAGTTAATTTTTTATTCTAAGGATAAGCTTTCGAGAAATGTATTTTCAGGTGTACATGGCGTATGAGTAACATTCTTTCCTGCTTACTATCTATTTTTCTTGTACGCTCTCGCTGCAAGTAGTTACTGGAAAAGTTATTGAATGGACCTTATAGCAGAAAGAGCGCAAATCGCTTTCAAAAAATAATTTCAGCTTGCTTTCGATATATGTCGAAAAGGCTGTCAAATTGAGAAATTTCAGAAAGCAGTTGCATGATCAGTCACACCTTGCATGTAAAGTGCCTTTCGAAAGAGGTTTTTTTTATCTCCGAAAGGCGAATTGCAGATTGCTAGTGCAGCACGAGCAAGTTGAAATATATTTTCGAAATCGATTTGCGCGCTTTGAGTTGCAGTCACGCCTTGCAACTTTAATTTCTGAAATTGATTTCCGAAGATCAACAGAAAGGTCTTTCAGGCTGTTCACACATGGAAATAAAATTTCTCTTTCACAATTTCACAGCGAATTGCTTGGAAAAAATGGAAATATTGCCAAGTCTGACACGCCCTTAACTTAGATTTTTACAGACAGTACTGTCTAACCAAATGCAATGCTTTTGTGAAATAGTTTTGTGAACTTTAAACAAAATATCAATTATTGCTTTCCGGAAATTAAAAACTACTTTTGAATGTATTTTTGCATGCAAAGTTTGACCGCTCCTGCAACAACTTTGACGCGCAAATTACCACGTTTGAATACACTTTTATTTGGTGATCCTTTCGGAATTAATTTTAAGCGAATAACACAATGAATCCCAAAGTATGTAATTTAATGTTGATTTGATAGTTGAATTTGGAATTGAGTTGCGATTTTACTTACTTTATAAGCAAACGTAGAACTGTGAAAGAAGGTTGCTAAAAGATCGTTTTATGACGCAACTGTTACCGAACTACTATTTTTATGCAATCCCCTTGTTAAGAAGTATTAAAAAATGCAAATTCCAAGTTCTCGTAAATTTTGTTTATATGTATGTGGGTTTATTCACTAACAAAGAAGATATCCAACTCACAAAATCTACGCAGATGCATTTCTGAACTCTCGCAAAAAACTAGGTTTATTCTTTTAGTAGTTGTAATTTTTTACATTGGAACATAGAGCGATTAAACCTTGGAACGCAAGATGGCTAAGTCTTTTTGGCCACGGGTAGATGGATACCGTCTCTTAAAGCTTACAAGTTTACATATTTCGTCACTGGTTCGCGCCTTAACTGGCCATTGTACTATTGGGGTCCTTGCGGTAAGGCTCAACGTAACAGCTGCGTACAATACAATGAGGTGGGATCATCTCATTAAAGGCATCGTTCGATATTTTTCCCTTTTTTCCATTCCTATTTGCATGCTATCTCTTCCCAATCACAAATGGCATGAGTAGCAAACAGTTTTAATATTATTTATAATCTATTATTTAGATTGAACGAAGAACTCTTGCTACCAGAAATTCCAGAAATGATACTAAACACTAGTATCCTAAGATCATAGGATTTGAAGTCCACAAAATCCCACCAAATTATATACTGGTATGAACAAAGTGTATATCGTTACCTTAATATAGAAAAGCCCTAACTCATATAGTCGCTGAAATGCAAAAAAGCCGTAACTGACTAACATTTTTTATTACTTAAAATGACGTGGGGACTTATACATATATCGATGAAATGCATCATAATCAATCAAAAGGGAATTTTAAATATTTACTTAGTTGCGGCTTTTTGCATTGTCAGCGACTGTATGAGTTAGGGCCTTTCTTTCTATTAAGGTAACGATATAAACATTTAAAACCTAACCTCTCTTAAAAACAATTATTTTCTATATGTATGTATTGAGGCTTTGTTTTCCCAAAATTCTTCATTTCCACATTTTGTGTTCAGTTAGACAAATTCTACGACTTTATTAAGGAAAAAATCTAGTAAAATAAAATCAAATTGCATTCTGCACGGAAGATATCAATCGTAACTTTACTTTTCTTATTTCGGTTATAGTTATAATATGATGTGGCAGTCGGTCCAATGACTAACTCACTTAGACCATGCAGGTCCATTGTGATACTAGTTACAATATAGTATGGGTCTAGAGGCCTACTCTTACCCTTTATAAATAAGAATATAATTCACTAATCAATTCCGTCTGCCTTCTGCTTTTCCAGGAGCATCATCTGCAGCGGGCAATATGTACTGGTCTCATTATACCCACACCAGAGGTTTTTACCACCGATCAGCAAGCCTACGATCGTATGTATCCTCCAAATTACAAAATGCCGCGGCAATTAATTCACATGCAGCGTAAGTGCCAGTTTGTGTTTTTCGTTTTATAACATTGTCAATAATTTGACAATTGTCAATTTTATAGCGCTGGGTCTCGAGCAAGATGTACCAGAT